GTACAAGGCACGGTGGCTGTAAATCTCATTGGCAACGTTCTCTCGTACGAGATGTCACATCTCCTGGTCCCCGTAAATGTAACTCGCAATGACCCGCCATCCGCAGTTCCCATCTGCTTTCACATTCAAGTAGCTCACTACGTAGTCCAACATATGCCAAGGAACACTGCTGTTGTACGCAGAACTAAATATATCTGTCTCGGTACCAGCTGGAACATCATAATAATTTCACGTCACAATAAAATAATATAATTTTGTAAATTAACATAATAATTAACGTTCAACTTTATAAAAAATAAATGTCACCTTGGTGTGCCTCTTCTGACGATTGAGAAGATTGGCTGGTTCTCGGTCTACACGAAGAAGTTCGTCCACGCGAAGAATTGCTTGTACGATCTTGCGAATTATCCCTATACTCCCATCGCGATGCTTGACGCTTAGTAGAATCAGTTTTTTTGGGACGACCTCGCGTATTTTCCTTAACCTCTGGTTCTGCATATGCTTGTTGGTCCGGGTAAAGCTGACCGTAAATGAGGTTATTGCAGTACTGCATCGTCGCAGGATCGCTCCCTTCAATCTCTTTGGCAAGCGTCCGAAAAAACTCAACATCTGTCCAGACACCCTGATTATGCTGGCTCTGGTAATTTGTCCCTACAAGTATACGATCAAAAAATTGAAACAATTACACAAAGTAGTATACTTTAATGTGTAATTTAAAATGAATCAGTAAGTAGAAAATTATAAATAAACATTAACCACAAATTACTTGGTTCTAACATCTCTAGTGTCTTCCAGAACTCATGGATCATGTCAATACCAATCGCCATTTTAGAATCATGTGTTGTACGAAGCGTACATGCACAAGGAATTCCATGTGTGGTAGGCAATAAACAGCCGCAGCGCAAGTAAACTTCATAGCTCACGTCTCGCATCCTTGTTAGCTCATCGTTCAATAAATTCAGACAGTAATGTGAGACTCTCAATGTCAAGCACGCAAAAGTCAATCCCGTATATGTCGTACTCTTCCTAAGTCTCGAAGACTCAAGTGTTGTCCTGTTAATACATTACAAAACAATTTGTTATATATAACAAATTATAATATAATATACTTATATAATATAATATACTATACTTATATAATAATATACAAGTATAATATAATATATTTATATAAAATAATATATATAACAAATTATAATATAATATACTTTACTTATATAATATAAAATACTTATATAATACTTATATAATATAATATAACAAATTATAATATAATATATTATATTTATATATAATATATTTGAGGAATGTACCTGATTTCAGTCAATTGAGACTCGATCTCCTTATCAATCTTATGTCACACTGTATCTAGCGCGCCAGTCGACGTGTGAAGCCAATTCTTCAACACAGAGTGGACACTTTCCACCCTACAGGTAGTTGTGTTGCCAAAATGTGTTACTTGGTTCGTCCAGGCTTTCACAAACTTCTTCTTTGTGGCCTAGCCACGTCTGCTCGAGATATTGAACCACTTTTGAGTCATTCTCGTATTATGCATTCAATTGAGCTACGACAGCGTCGTACTCCGGCGTACTGACATCTATAATCGACTTCCACCGACCGCGCAAGAACCTCTCAGATAATTTTTTATTTTTCCCAAACAGGTTGTACACTTTGTTTTCCACATCCTTGTTGATGTGCCACGTGCAGAGTAAATGGGCAGATTGGAGAAAATGCCTCCTAATAGGAGTCAATAAGCCCAACTCTCTGTCACTGACAACCGCATTAGGATGCACCTGATCAACGACAAAAAAATAGTGAGACACGCAAAAAAAAACTCAAATTTTTTTACCATATTTTACAAAGTACTTTTATATACTAATTATTAATCATGTACTTCATATAAATCCTTACCGTATAGCCTATGAGAAGTCTCAACTTGTCGAGAACCCAATCATAACTGGCCTCTTTCTCGTCCTTCATGAGGGCATACGCAAATAGAAAGTTATTGTTGCACGGCGTCATGTCAATCATCTCGACCAACGACATCTTGTACCTGTGAAAATGAGACCGATAAGGGCTGGGAATAATTAAAAAGGACTGAAATTAGCACATAATTTTGACTAGTATTAATTCTAATAAGGGCCAGAAAAATAATTATCCGAGAATGGGCCGAAAATATTCCCAAGAAACTGGGCCCAAAAATAATTTAGCTTATGCGGCCTTAAATATAAACTCAAAATCGGTCTCGATAAATTATACGAATCGAGAATATATTAAATTGACAAAGCCGGAACAAACTGGAAAGGCTTTGTCGGCTACTAACTGAATAAATCCAATAAAATCGAATAACTAACGAATATTCGATAATTCAAATATTTTAAATAGACATTAACGTCTAAACAAAATATTTCTCTCTTAACGGATTAAATAGACACTAACGTCTAAATAAATCCGAAGAACTTGTCGAGCTTAGAATAATTAAATGCAGCTAACTACAATAATAAAATAAATAATCCAGAAAAATCCATAATTTGAACGGGGTACTACACAAACCTATACTCGAGATCGACTTAATATCATGCTCGAGCCGAGCTTTGACTCGAGTTCTTCTCGTTTTATGACGCTCGATATAGACTGGACAAAAAATCAAATCGTGGGTGAAATTCCGTAAGAATCTAGAATGTGAGTTTTTACCGTTCAATTATGTTCGTACACTTTATCAGAAATTGCAGAACCTTCGACAAGGGTCACGTAGTGTTGATGAGTATACCGAGGAATTTTATTAACTCTTGGCCCGTATATATATTCGGGAGACTCCGGATCAATTAGTTTCCCGATATGTTGGTGGGTTACGTGTCTCTTCCAGGATGTGTTGAATATGTTCACTCCGGTTTCTGTTTCGGAGACACAGCGAGCTTTACTAGTGGAAAAACAGTAGGCCCGTCGGCCGCCTTCATCATTTTTGCCATCACGATAGCCTTCGACTCATCCACGACTTCGACACCATCTTCATCTATTCTACGGACTGGGGTTTCTGTTCTCTCTCGTACTACGGTTAGGGGTCGGGTTGGTGGAAATGTGCCTGGGGGTAACATTCTCCCAACGGGTGCTCCGAGGTGTTTTTCGTGCGATGAACCGGGGCATCGATAAGCCCAATGTCCAAAATTAGAGGGTACACAAGCTCTTTTGGTTGAGGATTCGGAGGATACCGAGTACAATGGTCTGCCTATTTTTTATGTGGAACCCGAGATTGTGGAGGAACATGTGACCGGGGATGTCGGGCACTCATTAGTCCTTCGTCATTCGCTTTTATCTCCTCCAGTTGTCAGCACGAGTGCAATTCAGCGACATCATATTTTTTAGTCCAGTTGTACCATCTGTGGTCAAGTATGTCGTTCATGATTGACTCGGGTGCTTGTGAAAATGTGGTCACTTCGGATGCGGTGGAGAAATTAGAATTGAAAATGGAACCCCATCCTCAGTCGTATACACTAGCTTAGATACAGAAGAGGACCCCTGTTACAGTGGATCGTTGAGTCTTAGTGGCCTTTTCATTCGGGTCGATGTACAGGGATGAGATATGGTGTGATATTGTGTCGATGGATGCTTGCCACTTTCTATTAGGCCGACCGTGGCAATTTTATTGTGCTGTTGTTCATAACGGATGTCTCAACACATATGGTTTTCTTTTCCATGGTGTCTGGATCGGCTTACACCCTTCATTATCTCGTTCGTTAGCCGTACCACCAGCTGTGGATCCATCATCCTCCTTCTCTTCGTCTGTATGTTTCTTTCCTAGTCTGCCTTTGTCCGTGAGATGATCGATGCACCTATGGTTCTTCTTGTTGTCGGATCTGACTCGGTTTCGAATGGTTCACCTTCTGCCTTGATTCAGCCTTTGCTTCAGGAGTTTGTTGATGTTTTTCCCACCGAGTTACCTAGTGGGTTACCGCCATTACGAGATATTCAACACCATATTGATTTGGTGTCGGACGCTTCTTTGCCCAATCGCCCTCAATATCGGATGAGCCCAGCTGAGCATGAGGAGCTTCATTGTCAGGTTGAGGACTTGTTACGGAAAGAGTCTATTCGTAGGAGTCTCAGTCCTTGTGCAGTGTCGACTCCCCTCATTCCGAAGAAGGATAAGTCGTGGAAGATGTGTGTTGACAGTCTTGCGATAAATAAATGTTATAAATTCTCATAGCAATATTACTTTATTCATAGGCAAGTCAAACGCCTTGAACTTAATCTTACCGATGCTCAGCTCAGCGCCTTGAACTGAAACCCTAAAGTGTTCATAGCAACAAAAATTCGCGAAGAAGGTACTCTCTGGCTCCCTCTTAGATCCATATTGTATTTTGGTGTTACGATTTTCCTCTTTCATCCGTCGCGTTTATTTTAATTGATGCATCACCACTGTTCATCCTCGGCTGATGTTGTGTGCTTTTTTTTTTTTTTTTTTTTTTTTTTTTTTTTTTTTTTGTATCTACCATTGACATCTGCAGAGGTATGGTAAATAATATCTCTTTGTCGCCGCTTTTATCTCTCTTTTCTTTTTCGGAGTAGGCTTAATGCCCTAATTTTGGTTTGGTAATTTTGTTTGTTTTGCTTGCATTTAAGGAACGAACGAAAGATGTCTTCCGCCAGATCCTCCGCCCGTGAACTCAGACGGCCTGTTCACAAAATTTTTCTGCGTCAGGAGGGGGTAACTTTTTTTTTTTTGTTTTTTTAATTATTATTTAATTCGCTTACCATTTTTGCTAGGTTTGATGTAAGCTTTGTTCTTATAGTATTGTTTTTCCCCTCTTTTTTTCTGGTAGACGTTTAACCCTTGGGACTTTACACATGAAAAGGGAATGACCACTCTGGGTCTTCTTCTCAAAGAAGAAGGAATTGTGATTGCTGCTGATCATCGTGAGTTCGTTTACTAGGCGGCTATCCTTATTTATATACATTCGCCTTTCATATGTGCTGTACCAACCTTACTAACTTACCCTGTTGAATTTAGCATCTGACACTGAACCCAACATTTTTCAACTGAATCATTCCATGGTGGCCACCATTTCCGGAGGAAAAGACAGAGGAAGAGACACTTCGTCGTTCACATCTCTGATCACATCTCTGCAACATCGGGTACTTATAAGTTTACAATTTACAATTTACATTAAGAGCCCCTGTTTTGTCTTCTATTATTTTATGGTGCAAACTAAGAAAGGATTGTTTTGCAGGCTCGACACGTACCTTTGGTTAAGGATCTGGTGGACTGGCTGGCTAGCACTATTTCAGCTGAGAAAGAGTATCATTCATCAGTAGGAATACTTATTGCCGTGTGGAACGAATCGGTACTTCTTTTTTTCTGTAATGTTTATTATTAATTTTTTTTTTCTTAATATTCTGAAATAGAACCTTTCATACCCTAGTCTCTTAACTCTCTCTTAACTGTGTCCAGGAGCGTGCTCTGTATAAGGTGAATGGTGATGGGGTAATTACTAAAAATGATGTACTTGCTACTGGATCTGGTTCATATGTAACAATCTTTGTGAAACAGTATGCTCCCATCTCTTATATGCGTTCCTATGTGATTCGTTTACATTATGTGCTCGTTTCTGGTTTTTCTTGTAGTAAGTTATAATTCATTTACATTGTGTTGGGTGCTATTTTTCCTGTCGATTTTTTGAAATCAAACTATTTTATGATTTTCATTTTTATTTTTATTTTTTTGGTAGGAAGCACAGATTCATAGAGTCTGGAATGTCTATACCCGATGCTGCAAACCTTGCCAAAATGGCTATTTGCATTGCTGCATATCGGGTTCCTCATTATGGGGATGTTGTTAGTGGTATGGTTTTAAATCTCCTGTCTGCTGTTATTCTCTATATTTACTTTCTTGCCTGAGTGCCTGTTCGGTCTCTATATTTATTTTCTTATGCGTGCTTCTCTTCTCTGTTTTTAAGTTTGGCACCTCGGAAGTGAGGGCTTCCAAATGCTTCATAAGGAGGATATGGAAGAATTTCATAGCCACCTGCCTTGTACGGCCAGGACCCAGGTTATTGGAGAAGGATGGTGATGCAGTAGCTCGTCCTCTTTGTTCTTTTGCTTTGGTTGATGGTTTTCTGGTTACCCAAAATGTTGCAAGGGTGTTGATAGGGTGTTGATGTAATCAATATCTGTACTTGTTGTCTTTTCGTTAATATAATAATTTTGCGTCCTGTTTTTGTTATTTGGATTAAATAAGTTTCTGTTTTTGTATTAAATAGGCTAGTAGAATCGAAAGAAATCGGCGCACTTGGAATGTCCTCAAAAATAGCATTGAAAAGTTCTCAAGTGTTGCTGATTGGCCATAAATTTGTAAGGTTTTCGTTTTTGCACATTCATAAAAATGTAAAAAAAAGTACTAACTTGAGATTACTCATGATGAAGTTATAAACAAAGTGTTTTAGCAATAGAAATCAAAACTATAATAGAAGAAAATGAAAATGTTAGAACATATAGATTCTTGAATATAAAATTAACAAATCAAATGCATAGAAACATACAAATTTGGTTTCGTGCTTGTGCTAAGGAATTGTTATTCAGGTAGGTTAGGATTTATCTAATCCCATGATCATGTATCTTAGAATTCTTGTTTGCCCCTGAGTATTTAACCATTGTTGTTGCACAGTTATATCGTTAGTTCTTACCAAGTACCAGCCTTTCATTTAAATATTTGACTTCTATAATTCACCCGCTTTGCTTCATATACAATTTTGCTGCTTTCGAATGCTTTGCGTCCTATTTTTTTAAATCATGCACACCCAAATCTTTTTACATAGCCTGTTTTATTAAATCTAATCGGAAACAAACTAATTGATCCAGAATGCATAAAACGTTTATCTCCCCTAGAAAATGCAGTTAAAGCTGGAGTCTTTACATCAAAAAAAAAAAAAAAAATTGAAAAATTAAAAACAACCTTAAAACTCATGAACCCACAAAAAAAGAGCAAGAAATCAAAGGTTACCTTTGTCCCTGACGCTGTAAAAACCAGCAATTTATTATCTTTCTCTACAACTTCTTCTCACGATTAGAGATGAAAGAGGGAAGAAGAAAAATACATAGACTACGAGAAAAAAATGATTGGAGTCGTTGAAAATTTTATTATGTAGTCTAAAAAAACAGACAAAATGGGTTACAAATACTAATTGTTGAAAAAGAGAGAAAAAAAATTAAATAATGTTTTTTTATATTCTGTCAATTAAATATTAAAAATTAAGATATTAACATTTGACCTAGTAAAAAATTTTTTTCAGGTCTTTATAGAGGCAACACATTGCAACTGCATCTACCACTTGTCGAAAACATTGGTACAGAATACAAAAAAAAAAAAACACAAAGGCCGTAAAACAGGCATTCATGGTTTCAGCTCGATCATATACACATGATGAATTTGAGAAGCGCATGACTACAATGAGGATTGCGGATAGTCGTGTAAATAAATATTTAAAAAAAGAGATTGGCTTTAAAAGGTGGTTGTGACTGCATTGCAAAGGAAACCGTTTTTTAACCATGACATCAAATGTTGTTGAATCAATAAACTCTACTATGAAGGTTGCAAGAGAGATGGCAATAACTTTGCTACTTGAGAGTTTAAGAGGGATGCAGAAAAAATGGAATGTTAAACACAAGGAAGAAGCATAAGGAACATTTACAAAACTTGCAAAGGTTGGGAACATGTTGCTAGAAAATTACAAAGCATACATGCATCTAACAGTAAGTATACTATTAAACTACCATCACTTAAATAACAATATATACATAAAATTATTTATATTTGCAAAGTACAGGTGCAAAAGGCAAGTGACACTATATACCGAGTATCAAATGGTACACATGTGTTTGTTGTTGATATGAAAAATAAGAATTGTTCGTGCAATCGATTTCAAATGGATGAACTCCCCTGCGCACATGCATTATGTGCGATACGAGGAAACCATGAAGATCCCGAGCCATATTGTTCAAAGTACTACTACACAAAGACCATGTCGGAAACATATTTAGAAGTAGTATACCCAGTGGACTGTGCATCTACAATGATTCCTCCAACCAACCAAGATGCAACCCTCAAACCAACACCTTAGATGTCACGTACTGTAAGGCAAAGAAAGAAACGGTTCTTATCTAGTGGGAGAATAATGTAGTAGTTCAAGCACTGAACATTTGATTTTTTTTTTTTTTTTCAAATTTAAGTAAGAAAGAGAAAAAAAAATCTTGTTTTTAAGTGGTATTTACTTTTGTTTATGTATTATTTAAAATTGTTTCCTATGT